CTCTCTTTTCTTGTCATTGATTTAGAGTACAGTGAGTAAGAGAGACTGAGGTTAAGGTTTCTGAGAGGGAATTTCATGCACTCCTTTGATCTAATACAGTGAAAATGGTATGCAATATAGTCACAGGTAAGCTACATTTTTTTCTGGGTGCCTTGCATTGTGTGTGTTTCTTGCAGACATATAAACTAAACCTGTGCAGCCATTTGCAACTACCAGTACCAGAAAAATGCAAAGCACTAAAAACCCACTACTGTGATGTTTCACTTCATTTTGAAGATGTGAATGACCTGTGATGGAGAGCAGAAAAGCTGGAATAGGCTGAATGTATATTGCTATTCTCGTGGCCTAGCAGAATGTTATATACAAGGAGAAATCTGCCCTTTTAGACCTGATTCACTGCTACACTATGGTTGCTTTACATTATTTTGGCAATGTAAAAAACCTTAAAGGACATAAAAATTATATTTGCATTCTGCCTATGCTCTGATTCTCAAATACAACAATAGTACACTGTACATACAACTGTGCTTTACATGACTGGCAAGATGCTAAAAGATTACTTTTCCCCATCTTTTCTTAGAAATGCAAACAAATTAACAAATGCAGAGCTAATTTGGTGCCAGAATAGCATAGTGAAGATTGATCCTCAACAGCTGAGCTGCGCCTTTTTGTATTAAGACTTCAGCACCTCTCTCCTTCCAAAATTAGTCATGAATAAAATAATTTGAAAAGTAATAATATGAAGATAAATGCCATATACTGCAGAGCATTTATAAAAAGCCTACTTGTCTCTCAGACCATTAATTGCCGTGATCTATGAAAATAATTGCTTTCAAAAGTGGACAGAGTAAACTGCTGTGTCTGTGCTGAATCTAACTCATCATGTTTCACAGTGTGTTAGAGTTGTCCTCATTTTTTCCTAATATTTGGTGACTGCCATGCAAACAGTTCTAAAGAAATGATCAGGGCCCTTTTGTAATTTGAAACTGAGGACACAACCATTCTACACTTAAGATGAGATGGAGAGGGAGCTTGAAAACATTGCACAGCATGGTTTTAACTGTGGTTTTACTACCATAAAATACATTACAAAGCTACCTTAGGCACATTTTAATCTTTCCTGTATAACTGAAATTTCTCCTTCTGTGTAAACAGTGATTTACCTTCTAGGATATACGGGCTTATTAAAAACAATAATGAAAAGCAAGAAATTTCTTCTCCATTCTCTTGGCCCTCCTCCAAAGGAAAAAGATCTTTCTCATAAGCAACACATTTTTCAGTTTATAAAATACTTAACACATGTAATGTTTGGGAATAATCAAACCTTGTACCTCCCAGGCTTTTTTGCTGAAAAAAAAAAAAAAAAAAAAAAAAAGAATGAGACATTTATTTTTCTACCCTTCTAAAGATGAAACCTGTATCTGTGTCACAAGGCAGCACTAGCAGTGGGATTTACATGGGGATACAGACAGAGGTGGAGCCTTTGTGATGAGACCAGTACTCCTCTGGAGGTAGGACTGACCTGCAGCAGTTCCCCTTGCTAATCCAGCCCTTGTCCAGGTTGTGTCACTGTGAAAACTGAGGCACTTGGGTCAGATCAAAAGATGAAGTTGTGTATACCACGAGTATGTTTCTTGGATTCAGCCCAGGGAACAGGGATTTGTGTCCGTTGTGGGGCTGATTGCTAATTGTTTGCTAACAAGATCGGATGTTTGTACAAGATCAGATTTTTCTGCAGTAGCTAGGTGCCAAAAGATGCAGCTAATTCTGCAGTGGAATGTCAAATGCCTCCATAAAATAAGTGTCTTATCTCCAATAGGATTTAGGCACTTAACCAGATTATACTCTAAAAATTTATTGCCTACTTACCTGAATATTTAGCAGCCTAACTAGCATTAAAAAGCTTTCCTCCAAGGGCCCAGTTTGGAGCAAGAACTGCCCATAGATGTCTAACTTTTCCCTTCAGGATTTTTTTCAGTCCTGTATGTTCACTGCTGGAGATCATCAACCTGCACTAGAAATTTGAATGCTGTTACTTTTCTGTACCTGGAACAAACCAGCACGTACTCTTCACTATGGGAGTGCAATGTGGGGAAGAAAAAAGACATGGTGGATTCATCTGAAATGCCTTGGAGAGAAGAAGACTGAATGATGTGTCTGGTGAAGAGTACTCTCAAATTCCCAGATTGCTTACACTGGTACAAAGAAAAAGCAACTTTAAGATCTACTCCCTACCCAGAACACACAGTACTGCCCCTCCACCCAAAGACAGTGATGTCTTTACCAATTCCCTCTTAACAAGTTCTCTAGAAAGAATCTTGAAGTTGAACATATCTGTCCAATTAAGCTGAAATGGAATCTTTTCATAGTTGGGTGAAATTTTGAGGTTTATTTCACCCTAAAAGAAAAAAGCTGCAGGAAATTTGTCTAGCAATTAGTCTAAAATCAATGTGAGATTACATGTTCTTTATGCTGAATATAAAGAACTAACAACTGTGGTAACAATTTACAGCCCCAGAAAATAACTAAAGTCCATTTTGGATATTTGTCTTAGGATACTAGAGATTTGACTTGTAACTTTGTCAACGTTAAGATATAAAAAGCTTCCCCATCCAACCCAATCCCATTTAACGTTAAGACGTAAAAAGCTTCAGCAGAACAAGATGAGCTACTTTCAAAATGTCTGCTGTTTCTCTCTGCAGAAGTGTCTTTCACAAAACCAAAGTTGCTTGTATTTTCCTTCCTGTCCCCATAAAAATTCTCTTAGTCTGATACTCTTCTTCCATCATGATTAAAAGGCATTTCGCAGTGTCTCCCTGACAAATGTTCCTACTGATTGTTTTCAGAAGCTGGCAATGATGTTTGTATCTTGGTGTTTTGTATTGGCCTAATTATCATGACAAGAAAACCATTGCAATATTTTGTTGCATACAGACACCATCCTGCAGCATGCATCAGGAATTTGTAATTAACCAGGTAGGATGAGGGAGTTCAGTGTTTCCCAAAGTCACTCATTCTGTCCCAGTATTCTACCTGGAAACAGCACTGACTTTAGCTAGCAACACAGAGCATATTTGCTATTATTTATATGCTGGAACTGTCAGGAATATGTCACAAAACATGGAATTTGTCCATACGCTTGGAATTCAGTCAAATATGTCCTAAAAAAGAGAGATAAAAACTGTCAAGCAAGCAAGCAAATATTACAAATTGGTTACTTTAAAATAAAAGAGCTTCAGGACTGTTCAGCACTACATTTCAAATCTAGTGAACTCCTTCAGCCTTGTAATTTCTTAATGTGAACACAAGATAAGGGTAGTCACAGATTTATGTCTGGATGTCCATAGTGAGCCTGAACTGTGACAAGACATTGAAATCAGCAGTGATCTACACACAGAAGTGCCGGTGGTATCCTGGCTGCTGAAGGGTGTATGTGGGTACACCATCGATGGCTATCAGGCCAGTAGAAAAAAATAGAAGTCGAGTTTCTGGCCTTCTTAGATTCAGGGAAGATTTGACCTGATACACTGTAATACCCTTCTCCAGACTAATTCTTCACTACTTGCCCCTAAAGCACTTACGGTGTTATTTAACCCTGTCAGCTAGAGTAAAAAACACAACCTGTCATGAAGCTGGTGAGCCCTGCTGCCACTTCACTGGAGTAGCCCAGTAAGAGCAGTAAGTGACCACATGCTAGATCCCAGAAAGCTTGAGGCTTCAGCTCCAGCTTGTTGCTTCAAGGGGCTGGTACTCAGGAGGTGTAACGGACCAAAGGGAAGAAAGGAAAATCTGCATTTTGGCTATTGTACATCGGATGACATGAGCAGCCATTAAGGGAGGTGGAATGTATCATATCAGGCTGTCCTCATCTGGGTCAATACCTAAAACAAAGCGTCAAATGTGGAGAAGACAGTGAAAAGAGTCATGTGGCAGGCTTTTCCGCCACTCCTGTCACCCCCTGGACACAGAAGAATGTAACAGACTTTGCAATTCAGTTCCTTAACCAAGCAAGCTCAGTTCCTCCTTCAGATAACCTGGGACACCACTGGCCAACAGTGATATATCATCTACTAAATTTTTGTCCAGGTTTGGAAAAAGAAAATCCAGAGTCAACTAATGAAACTGTTGTCAGCATTCTCCTTGGGTTAGTGGCCTTATTGAAGTAACTTATAAATCTCTGATGTGCAGGGCTTCTGAAAGGCTCTGCGCCCTTTAGCTGAACTATGTCTTTCCTTTCTGGTACTGTGGGCAGGAGTTTGAATTTCTGGGAGTTGCTTCCCAGTTCATAAAACACAGATGAATCAAGGAGCAAGAATCAACCTGAGGTGCCTCAGGTGTGAAGAAGTATTTGCATGATGTGATCCACTTGCTAGCATCACATGAGCATTTTCACCTGACAAAACTGCTGGGAACATGGAGACCTGGGACAGTGAGAGAGCTCTTGATCTCTCTTGTTCTCTTTTGCTCTTGTCGTTTCTCTGGCCCTTCTGAGTTAGTGTTCAGTGGGTGCTAAGGAAGTGTTTTGTGGCTGGAGGAAGTAAACTGTATATTATATTGTTTCCTGCAGTCAAGACCTTCATGAGCCAGGCAACCCCTTTTAGCTTTTGGTTCCTGTATAAAAGCAGCTACTGGGAGAAGCTTTTGCAGCTAACGAACTTGGAAATCTCTGATGGCTATTCTTTGCAGGGGGATGGGTTACAGTGAAATGGGACTGAAGTAACTTTGAAGCAGCAAGTGTTGGTGCCATAGAAGCCATAACCCACTGCAGCAAGTCCCGATCCTGTGGTGCTTAACTGTCACCAGCTTCACGCTGTCACCGAGGTGCACTGAACCTCCTGGTTTGTGAGCAGCCCGTCTGCACAGGGTTCTCCACTCAATCCAAACTCACCCCTGTAGCTTGCAGACAGCAATCCTGAACAAACCCATGGAGACTAGAGAAATGAATCATTGTACCCAACACATGAAGCCTTCACACACCTTCACATTTAGCTGACTCTTACCTCTTTCTGGTGGTACTTTATTGCTACCTTTAGCTTTGCCAAATCATGACATTTTTGGGGATCCAGCTCTTCGCTTTGATCATCTCTGTGATTGAGAATGATCTCCAATTCTCGGGAACTCCGTGCTTGATCCAAAAGGTCCTTAGCAAAACGCTTGCACTGCTGTGAAAGCTCTTCATATTCAGCCTTGAACTCATTTTCCACTTTGCTGAGCTCCTTCAGTTCCCAGCCCAGTCGGAAGGCCGTCAAGATAGGGTCCTCGCTTGATAAGGCAATCAACGAAGGGCTGGCTAAGGCTTTGTAGATGTTCAGCCTTGACCTGGAATGCCTCAGGCTGTCCACCTCTGAACTGGAGACACATTCCACACAGTTGCATCTGATCTGGTGTGGGCGTGGAATTGTTACCCGTCTTTGGACAAGCAGTTTGATGATTTCATAGTTGTTGGTGTGAGCCGCCAGCATTATTGGAGTGATATCTGGAGTGAATTCTGAAAACTGGGTGTCCATCATCAACGTTGGAACCTATAGAAAGGGATAAACCATAGTCACATTTCACGTGGAACAGCAGAAATCAGACGTCCCTCCTTTGTACTTTCAAAGTGATGCCATAACAGAGTTTTTGTAACACCCTCTGTTCTTTAAATCCTATTGTATCCATGCACACACACACACTGCTGTTCCGGCAAAACCACCTTCCCCCAAATCATGCCTGTCTGCCTCCCAAGCAGGAACCTGTGACCACCCAATTCCCAGCCTGGTGTAAAAGTCAGTCACATCCCCATCTGAATGCTTTATATGTGAACCTGTTCTGAAACGGGTATTGGCTCATATACCAAGAGGTGGACTTTTGTAGGAAAAAAGGAAGACAAGAGGCCCAGGTAATTACACAAAAAGAAAGTCTAGAAAAGAGTAAACATAACTACTTCCTAACTCTCATTATTTGCATTATGTATCTACACTAGCAGGCCAAGAACCTGCTCATAGCAAGCCCTACACATACCAAACCAAACACTGGTCTGCAGTTGAGCAAAGCTCTTCCTCACCTTTTCCCTACTGTTTTTATTTGAAAATACTTTTCAGTGGAAGGATACATTACATAACTGCCCTCAGAATAGATTTGTTTTGTTTTTTAAATGGGTTTGAAAAAATTTAAATGTAAAATTAATGAGCCATAGTCCACTACAAATAAGACACCCCAGGGTATGCATTATTCAGCTACTGTTGCACTTCTCAAAAGACGAGCTTAATGCACACCCTGTTGCGTCTTATTACTATATGCAGAGTGCAAAATTAGACCAAAATGCTCTTACATCCCAAGCACGCAGTGTGTTTCCATTTGCAGCACAGGCAGCTCTCTTTGTTGTGTGTTAATCATTACTCAAGCATACTGTACTTCGTGTGCCCACCACTCTTGCCCTGGCAGCTGGCATCCTGCTGCTTAAGGGGTGATTGCTGGTTTTGGTGAACAGTAGGCCTGTTTCCCCTTGCAAATGTCAAAGGCATTTCACAGAAACTATTGTCAAAGAGTCCTAATGACAGGAAACATTAGTCAGTCTGTAAAAATCCAAAAGTAAAGCAGCAATAAAGTAGCGTGAAGTAACAGGTTAGAAATCTTTCTGGAGGATATACCTAAGACTAGTTATGAGACAGTGAACCTCTAACCACTGAATCTGAGTTCCCTGGGAGCTAAGTGCTTCTGTAGCACTAAAGAGCTAAAGACTCCTGGGCTGTAGTTGATTGATAAATGTCTACATAACCCAGCTGTGACAGCAGGACAGAGCCTGTTCACAATACACAGCACTCTCCCAAAGATCAGCACCACACTGAGATGCAGGATCATTTACTGGCGCAGGACTCACTGGGTGGCTAGAGGTATTTTGGGGAATAAAACAAGTCTGCTACCCTGGATGTGGCACATGAGGAGTTAAATCTCTGGTAGCCCACAGACACACAGGTGTAAAGAGGCTTTGCTAACAAGGTTGGTCCCTACAGAGGCAGCCCGGAGGGAGCCAATAAATAAGGCTCATGGGGAAGAAGGGAGGAGGGTCATGAGGATTAGCTGTGGGTTGTGGAAGACTTGGTGTCTCCTAGCAAGGTTGGATAAATGTATTTTAGCATATTTTGTAAAAAACAGCTGAAAGCAGCTCTCTTTGTAAGGTCTTTGACTTTCTTTCATTTTCTTTTGCTTAGCTCATTTAGGTAGTTTGTTAAATGTCAAGAGAAAGGTGCAGGTTTTTCTCTCTTAGAAGCGTTTTTTTTTTTTTTTTAAGCCCTGATACTTGAATAATTGCATTTATCTCTTTTCCCCTCCTTTTTCAGTCAGTCACTGGATGCTGTATTCACACCTCTGCCTCAAAGGAAGAATGCTTTCCCCTCTATCACTCTTATTACTGTCAAATTTAATCTTGTTTTTCTATATGGAAGTTATTGTACCCAGGGCTGTGAAAAGGATTTTCAGCTTTACACAGATGAGGTATTCATGTCGCTCAGAATGTGAAATGGGCACTTGCTGACAAAGTAGTAATATTACAGGTGGGGATAGTGCTAATCTTGTCTGCTTCTGTCTACTCCCAAGGCTTTCTAAAAGCTGAATCTAGACCTCTCAAAATAGTTGTCCCAAGGTTTGGGATCAAATTGGGGGAATCTATCAAGTGATCTCCCATCCCTTAGTCTGGCTCATGCCACAAGTCCTCACCCCAAAAATGGAGCTCTAATTTGTTAGGACTCAGGCAGCAGCTGTGTGGAAGGCATGTTTTCCTGGGTAAAATGCAGCACATTTAATTAAGGGCTAAGAAGAGAAATAGCGATACAGATACACACAGGCTCCCTGAGGTCTGGGAGCAGATCAGCGTAAGGGCTCAAATCACCAGAGCCGAAGCTTATTTCTGATTAGAGCTGAGCAGCTAAACAAACCACCAAAACACTGAACAGGAATAGTGCAAACGATGGCTGCTGTGGCCTCTCTCTTTTCTATGCCTGGCTGATCCTATCCTGACTGTTCTATCTGTTGGCTAAGAATTATATATCCTGTGGTGAATATTTTTGCTGTTGTCTTGCACAGTGTTTTGATTACCTGCATCTTAACAAACTCTTTTTTAAAAGATGAGGCTATGCAAAGCAAGCCTGTGCTATGAAGGCTGTATTCTACGTATTATCACTGGAGGGGCAGCAGAGAATACAACAATGCATTGTAATTGCTGATCTTCCTCCTGTACTACTCTGACAGGTTGAGTTCATGTTTAGATCAGCTTCTTCTGTGTCTTGGGTTAACTTACAGTGATGGAAGCAGAAGATGAATAAATTATTCTACCCCAAGGGCTCTGCTAAACTCTTCCAAGGTTATTTTCATTAAGTGACTTGAATAACAAATTCTTTTCCATCAACCTCATTGCCTGACACAAGCTGTTAAACCGAGTCCTTCAGAACCTTATTGTCACTACTTGCATAGGAGCATGTGCTTTGTCTGTCTTTCATCTTGGTAATGTTCACTTCAGAAAGTAACAGTACCATTAACAGGTGACTGAATGCTTGTTACCATCTTCCTAGACATAATCCTCATAAAGGTAGGCTGCTTACCACTGCACTGCTGCTTCTCTGAACAATACTGCAGTGAGTGAAAAATCTTGCTTTTTAAAAAGGGGAGGTGGGGAGAAACAAGCTTAATTCATTAGAGAAGAAAATGGAGGATTAGCTCACACAAAATCACTGTTCAGTATAGCTAAGATATCCTCTGAACGGAAAAACAAATTCTCCAATAAATAGTGCACTGCAGGAAAGAAGTTCTGGATAGGAAGAGCAGGAATCTCTGCTTATGTTAGACAGTAGTAGTATAAGAGGAGCAGAACTACGGAGCAAAAAAAAAAAAAAAATCCACCTGACACTGAAGACTCAATGGCCTTATTGTAGGACTGTTGGAGTTTTACTTTGGACTTAACCTAGTCTGGTATCTGAGTGCTTGTGGAGCATGTCTTCTGGCTTAGTGTTGTGTAAAAGCAATCCAGCTCAAGTGCTCTGAGGCTGCTCAGTAGTGTGAACCAAAGCACAGTAAATGGGGAGGTTAAGGAGATACAGCTCAAAAGCATGCTCCTCAACCAAACTAAAAGACTAATATGAATGCATCTTTTGCCTTTTACGGACCATGGAAGCTAATATCCAGGTTTAAACACCAGAAGATTTCGAAGCAAGCTATAGTGTTTCTACATCTGTCATCTATCTATGCATATAAAGAAGGACAACTAAGTGGGAAAAAAAAAAAAAGCTGTTTTGCAGCAAAGGAATTTGCCAGTCAAGTGCAAAATCTTGAACTCTGAGGAAAAAGTCTGGCTCTGACTAATGACTGTTTGGGGGTGGTTTTCTGTTTCTATCTGTGTCTTATGCTTTTCTGCCCCTCTATATTGACAGTCCTCCTGAAGATGATCTGATAAGCCTAGCAGGCACTAGTCTCCCATCATGTTCAGGTCTCTCCTCAGTGTTCACCTTTACTGGTGCTCACAGCTGCAGTTTCCCCAGATAACCCTTCAGTGCTTCAGACCTGAACTGAAAAGAGAGTATCTAGAAAGCCTAACCACAAAATCCTTTAGTTTTGTTAATCTCTAATTGTAAGCTTCTTGGGTCAGAGGCAGCCTAAATACACACCCTGTCTGGCATTAAGAGTATTGCCACTTTTGCTTGAAGATAACTAATAATACTTTTACCTGCTACAGGTGCAATTTTCAAGCCGTCTCCATTCCATAAACTAGCACCTCACCTGGACTGGTGTAATAAACTGTAAGTATAACCATGATAAACTGTAAATATATTAATCTGTGTTATTTTCAGATTGCATAACTTTTATACAACTATATAAGATTTTCTATTTGCCAAAAAAATGTTTTACTAAACAAAACAAACTCATGCAACTTCAGTGGAAAACTTCAAATGTAACGCTCACAGAAATGGAAGCGTGGGCAACTTATTGAGCGAGGATTTCCTACTTCTAGTTTGGTTTTCTGCATGAAGCCCTATGGGGGAAGTGCATATGCCATCCACAAGTGCGGTAACAGGCACGGCCAATTTCTGTCATTCTTTAGATTTAGTACCACATCAATTTAGCATGGGGTTCGGCGGTCAGAAGGAGCTTTAGCAGTGACTGATTTTGTTCAGAACCGTAGTCCTGTGGTACTTCTAGCTGCAGCTCTATAAATAGAGCATGAGAGACAGAGTCAGTGTTGCTAGACTGCAGCTCAGCCATGTTACCAGCAAAAGGATCTTGAAAAAAACATATATTGGGACTGGCATGACCAATTGAATCCTGCTCCTTGTCTAAACCCATAAACAGATTCTTTCATTGACAGAACCCCATGGTTATTTGTTTCTTTTTGTGGGACCCTGGAAAAATGTTACATGCTTCTTCAAATTTAAGCATTAATTTTAGGTGATGCAGTGGTACAGGTTTCAATAACTAAATATCTTAATCAGGGCTGCCTTGAGAGACATCTTGTATCAGAGTGATAACAGTATCTATATTAATAGGGAGGTTGTTT